ACTTCCACAGTTCATTCTGGACCTCGCCGCGAGAGCAAGCTGTAGATCTTCTCCCAATTTGGAATACTCTCACGAAGAGCTGTGGTACAGAAGTTCCTTTGATGTACTCGGGTTTCTCACCACGGCACAGGCCAATTAAACTGAGGCCACGTAGGCATCTGTTCAGTATAAATCACCGATCTTTATTCCTGGTACCGCCACCACTTAGGCTGCTGCTTTCTCTGAGCAGTTTAATCGTTCTACCTCCGACCTTCACCTCGTCCTCAACCTGTGAGGCATCATCAAGGACCCATTTAAGAGGACTAATATTTTGCATCCGTTCCTCAATATTCCAACCGACAGTGTACAGGCTCTTTTGGTGTAGTTCCTTCTAGATCTCAATTGCATAATCGGGGACTCCGAAATAAAGAACCCCGGTCCCAGAGGCTAGTCAAAATCAAGGGCAGATGATTATAGGGCCTCTGCCAGTGCCCTAAGCCTCCCCATGAAACCTACTTGTTGGCAATGGTACTGGTGGAAGTCAGGGCTGCCAAGCCAGTGTCATTTAGTGTTGCCGCGGTCCGGTTCAGGTTCTGAAGTTCACATCCATATTTTCCGAACCCTGAACTGGACCCCAGGTTTGGTTCGCTGAACCTCACAGCCAGTGAACCGGACCACAGGTTCAGGTTCGACGGGGTCCAGTTCAAGTTCAGAACAGGTTTGGACAGGTTTGGACCTTGAACCTATTTTATTCTGATCAAAATCGTTTGGACAGCTCGTAACCGGCACAATCATACTATATCTTTGTGGCACGGACCCAAGACCCTGCAAATGGTCCTCCTCATTGGAATTCAAAACATTGACCATCGTATATCTCACAGAAAGGTGTAGCACAGCTGTCCATCTGTGACCACACAGGGCAATAATGCTATCAATCGAACTTAGAGGTGGCACATGAACGATACATTCAGGACACATAATAATAATATTGGGCATAAAGCTATTCTCTGAGCTCTTCACTGTCCTGGGAAACCCGTCAGTCCCTACTTATTCTCTGCCTCTATCAGAGACACTAACATGAGCATCTTATTTTCGAACACGCCACATTATTCAGGTCAAGATTTCGAACAAAAGTGAAAACCTTCCCTGCTGACTCGTTTGAACATCTCAGCTGAGGTTTCTCGCCAATTTATCGCAGGGCAGAACCCATAAATGGTTTATACTGAGGTAAATGTAATTCAAATCTCACAGGGAATGACATTGCCCAACCCGAGTAGCAGTTTGAAATTTTCGATGCACCCTCAGGCTTTGGGGTACTTATTTCTAGTCTGTGGGAGTGGTTTTGGGGTGAGCTTCGAACCGGTTCGAGTGCGTTCAGCCAGGTTCGGAGATTTGTGGAATTTATTGAACCTCGAACTGGACCTCGGATTCGGTTCAGATAACCTCACAGCCACTGAACCGGACCCCAGGTCCGGTTCGGGTCCGGTTCAGGTTCACCAGCGGTTCAGAACCTTACCGCGGTAACACTAGTGCCATTGCCAACAAGTAATTAGTACTATTCTAGTTCTCACCCAGTACTGGGATGTTTTCTTGCACCAAATACTGGTTCCCCACCTCTCGTGTTCACATGCCTGGTCGTCACCCACTGGTTCGACGCTTTGCGCCGAGCTTGCCCGCTCCTGCCGAGCTTCCTGAATTTGAATGAGATATATGCTGCTCATCGACGACCTTCGGTCCCTCGGAGCTCACGGTGCATGGGAACATATCGGCAGCTCCAAATCAGAGAAATAGCCGCTTGTCACCGCCTGTAGGTCTTTCCTCGTGGCCCGCGGGAGCACCATGCTGCATGACCTGAGAGGGTCGGAAGTGTCTAAATCAGGCCAACTTGCATCTGGAAAATTGGGGGCAGCTGAAAGACTCTTCATATTCCACACACACATTTTTAAGGCGAAATGATATCCAAGCTACCGAATAGACCGATGTCCGTCTGTCTATGAGAACTGTTGATAGACAGACCGGTCGATCGGAGTTTGAAATCACGATACGCGCGCGATTCCAAAACGGGCTTATTTGTAAGCAGCGACTGTTCTTCATTCTCCCGGCTCAAATTGGGTCAGGTCAGAGTCTATAAGGCTCGTACAGGCTTCAATGGCCTGTTAGTCCATGCTTGACCCAGAAAATTGATGTGTTCGGCTCTGGGGAATATTTTTACAAAAATTGTCGCTGTTAGGATTCGAACCCTCCCCGCTGGAAGCGATTGTCTCTTTAAAATATATTTAAAATCCCCGCCAGTATGAGTAATGTATGAGTGAACGCGTGACGTGCGCCCCAATTAGCACCCGGCATTTCCCCCTCACGGATAGTATACGGTCCACGGACACAAGACCTGATTCCTTGAGACAGAACAGATAATACCCTGTGTTGAACCTGTTTTCTACAGTGCAGCAATGTATGTGATATGGATTTGAGAGTTAATTACAAAAGATTCAGGGGTAAAAATAAGAGGACTCGTACTGCCATGCGCAGCAGTGGCCCTCAAAAGCTAGTACATCAGGCATAGGATGGATTTGTCTTGCGCTTTGTGGTACGTATATTCTTCTTTCCATATCACCCGCTAAGCAGGCCATGATAAAAAATTGGATATCGCATATCACAAACGCAGACACGAGGCCGTTGAGCTGCCTGCACTTGACAATAAAAATCTTTACAATGGAGGCAGCGCACCTCCGCTTCCTACCTCCCTTTCATTGTTCTTCTCATCTGGCTATTTGCAGTCTCCGACAAAAAGGATCAGTAGAGAAGCAGGCGGATGCGGACGCGGGAAGTCGAATCCTATCAACTGTTTGCACTTTCCCTTCGACAGATGCGAAATTGAGGCAGTCGTGCACCGTGCACCACGTCCGCTTCCTACCTCTCTTCCACTCCTCCCCTTCCCAACTTTTTCGCTAGTGAGAGAACAAAAAAAGCGAGGACAACAGCGGAAGGCGGACACAGGGAGTCGAACCCCGTTTGACTGCTTGCACTTATGAAGGATGACCGAATTGAATGCAGTGGTGCGCCGTGCACCACGTCCGCTTTTTACCTCCCTTCGTGCCCTCTTCTCATCTGGCAGTCTGTTGGAAAAAAGAATTTTGGAAGAGCGAGGCCATGCGGATGCGGGGAGTCGAACCCCATTTGAGCTTCAACTGCGCGAAGACATGAATAATTAAATGCAGCTGTATGCCGTGCACCACCTTCGCTTCCTACTTCACTCCTATTCCTCCTCTTACCGGGCTTGAAATCTTTTGAGAACCCGAAAAATTGTTGAGGTAACGGGGAGGGCGGACGCGGGGAGTCGACTCCGGTTGGCTGCTTTTACATCTGTCTTACTCGAACTACAGAATGCAGCGGTGTGCTGTGCACTACGTCCGCTTTCTACCTCTCCTCCTTACCTCACTAATATCCTTTGTTTTCTAGCGGGAGAAATGCTGAAAAAGGTGAGGACAACAGCGAAAGGCGGACGCGGGGAGTCGAACCCCGTTCAACTGCTTACAATTTCAACCTCGTTCAAATGCTGCAGTGGTGCACCGTGCACTACGTCCGCTTGATACCTCCCTTCTTACCCTCTTCTCATCCAAGTCTTTCTCAGCCTTCGAGCCAAAAAGGGGAAAGAGCGAATGCGGACGCGGGGAGTCGAACCCCCGTTTTACTGCTTACATTCTTGGTTCTCACACTATATTGAAGGCAGCGGTGCACCGTGCACTACGTACGCTTCTTACCTCCATTCTTACCCTCTTTTCATCCGGGTATTCGGAGCCTCCGAGAAAAATAATGGGCTTGACATGGGCCATGCGGACGCGGGGAGTCGAACCCCTTGAACTGCTTGTAATCAACTACCTCTTTATGGAATGCAGCGGTGCGCCGTACACCACGTCCGCTTATTCCCTCCATTCCTACCGTCTTCTAACGCAAGATTTTCGCAGCCTACGAGAAAGAAACTTAACAGGGCAATCGAAAATGCGGACATGGGGAGTCGAACCCCATTCAACTGCTTGCAGCCATTGACGACGACTCAGGGAATGCAGCGGTGCGCCGCACACTACGTCCGCTTCCTATCTCCTTTCTTCTCCTCCCTTACCAAAGTCTTTCTCAGCCTACAATAAAAAAAAACTGTCAGTGGAAAGGCGCATGCGGACGCGGGGAGTCGAACCCCGTTCGACTGCTTGCACTGTAGGAGCTCAATAAATCATTGAAGGCAGTGGTGCGCCATGCACTACGTCCGCTTCCTACCTCCCTTCTTACCCTCTTCTTAACGGCCTGGATAATAAAAAGTTGAACGAAAATGGGGTAGACGGACGCAGGGAGTCGAACCCCGTTTGACTGCTTACAATCTACATTGCAGCATACAAATTGAAGGCAGTAGTGCGCCGTGCACCACGTCCGCTCTTTACCTCCGTTCTGCCCCTCACTAATACCAGCTGTTTAGCCTTTCAGAGAAAAAAGGTATCCAGACGATGAATGGGTCAGGCGGACGCAGGGAGTCGAGCCCCGTTTACTGCTTCAACGGCAGGACTACATGCAATGGAAGGCAGTGGTGCGCGGTGCATCCGTCCGCTTCTTGCCTCGCTCCTATCCCTTCCCTTACCTAGGTTTTAAAGGCTTTGCGCGAACCAAAAAAAAAGATGAATTAGAGTAGAAATGCGGACGCGGAGAGTCGAACCCCTTCAACTGCTTCCAACAGGTTGGACGATAATTGAAGGCAGTGGTGCACCGTGCATCACGTCCACTTATTCCCCTCCCTCCTATCCCTCCCCTTACCCTGGCTTTGAAGCCTTCGAGAGACAAAAAAACGAGGAAAGGGCAGCTTGAAGGCGGACGCGGGGAGTCAAACCCCGTTTTACTGCTTGCGATTTAGCCCTCTTATAAATACTACAGTAGTGCGCCGTACACCACGTCCGCTTTCCCCCTCCCTTCCTCTCCTTCCTTACCCAAGTTTATTGAAGCCTTGAGAGCCAAAATAAAAAGACAAAGGCCCCAGAACATGCGGACGCGGGGATTCGAACCCCGTTCAACTGCTTGCACTGTTGAAGCTGAATAAACATTGAAGGCAGTGGTGCACCGTGCACCACGTCCGCTTCCCACCTCTCTTCCTTACCCTCAGTTATTTACCAGATTTCGGTGTAAAAGTGTAAAAGCAAATATCGATACACCCACATGCGGACGCGGGGAGTCGAACCCCTTCAGTTGTTTATCCTCAACCAACTCGGCCTGTTGATGGAATGCAGTGGTGCGCCCACAGTGCACTACGTCGTGTGTCAAGTGGGATGCTTTCGAATGCGAACCGTGAGAACAAAATGCTGCCTTGCGTGCAGGAACCTGGACGGCTCCTGTTGGTTTCACTATCATGATGGAGTATAATGAATGTCTGCGTCTTTAACTCTATTTTAACTCTTTAGATTGCGTGCTTTGGGAGTCTGAGAAAAAATAAGTGGATGACAATGGTGCATGCGGACGCGGGGAGTCGAACCCCGTGTTACTGCTTGCATGCTCAAAATCATCAATTACAGAATGCAGCGGTGCGCCATGCACCACGTCCGCTTTCTACCTCTCTTCCTATCCACTTCTCATTCAAGGCTTTTTGCCCGCGAGAGAAAAAAACTGGAAGCTGAAAGGACCAGGCGGACGCGGGGAGTCGAACCCCGGATTACTGCTTACAATTTCAACCTCGTACAAATTCTGGAGTGATGCGCCGTGCACCACGTCCGCTTATTCTTTGCCTTCTTACCCTTTTCTCATCCAAGTCTTTCTCAGCCTTCGAGCTGGAAAGAGCGAATGCGGACGCGGGGAGTCGAACCCCCCGTTTTACTGCTTAGATTCTTGGTTCTCACACTATATTGAAGGCAGTGGTGCACCGTGCACTACGTACGCTTCTTACCTCCATTCTTACCCTCTTTTCATCCGTTCTGCACCTAGGTTTATTCAGGGGTTTTGGAGCACTTCTCTGAGAGCTTTCATGTTCCAACCACAAATTTAACGACACCGTGATGAGAGAGAATTCGAATGAGTAGGGGAACATGACAGCGGGATTTTCACCGCCAACGATTCCGAACGCGCGAAATTCAAAGAGAAGGAAGGAAAACCAGGCTCGAATGAGAATTTTCGACTCCGGATTTATTTTGCGTTTGAATGAATACAAAAAGAAAGAGAAGCCCCGCTCGCAGTCGGGACCGTGTGTGGTGTCTATCGAACATTCTGCAAGACGATTCTCGACAGAAGTTCGAGAAGAGGCGGTGTCTCCGTCAATTGAGTCGCGATCTGCAATTTGCGCCAACGGACGGTGTGCATGTCGAATTCTATTACGACGCGGCGCGCTCTGCGTGCGAGGGGAATATAATGAGCGAAGGGCACGGTGGCGGCGGCGCGCGCAGGCGCGATTCAGGCGTGGGATTTCTGCGTTGGGAAAGGGAAGGGGAGGGCGTGGCGATAAGCAATGTGCGCAGCAGAAGGGGCAGATGCAGCAGATGCAGGAGGCCGGTCGGGCTGGGTGTGAATTCAAATAGAGGCGTCGGGGACCCGAAACAGACAGACGCGGCACGTCACCGCACTGCTGACCGACCGATGATCCCGTCCCCGGGCACCGGCGACGTACTCTGAGTCGCCGGAGCTCTCCCGCGAACGAACGAGCGGCAATGGCCCGATGGGGAAAAGGCTTTTAAGCTCTGCTCGGGCTATCGAAGTCGCCCCTTGCTTGCTCGGCTGGCCGTAAGTTAATTAGCAGTAGTGTGCCCTCGGGGAGTTGATTACGCGGTGGGTGGCCTGAGCCTGCAAGCAATAGATTCACTGCGTCGTAGATCTGAGTCGAGGTAGATCTGGATTTGGATTGGATCGGGGGCCGTGGATCAAATTTGCAATTCAATAAATAATCCAATTAGCCTCCTCGCCAACCAGATCGGGAACTGAGCCCAAACTCACCCAGCTCCGCTAAATAACGCTCTGTATTCTTCATTTTCGTTCACATTTTATTCGCTGCGCTGGGATGGGCGACTTGTACGTCGACATAGAGTACCCCCACATCAAGTACACCACCGCGGACGAGGACGGGCTGCCGGCGTGGGCGTTTGACGCGCCCCCGCCCCCGCCGCGCATGACACTCGCGGGCAGCCTCGACCTCACAACCGGCATCTTCTACCGCACCCCCGAGCATCCCCGCCTCCGCACTGCCCAGGCCTGCGATAAGTGCCGTACCCGCAAGGCAAAGGTCTGTTCCCTTCTTCCTCGTTGGGGTTGGGTTACTGAGACACGCGGACAGTGCTCCGGGGACCACCCCTCCTGCGCGGGCTCGTCTGCGAGTACGCCAAGGAGGGTCGGGTGCGCGGGCCCAACCGCACCCCGCGCTCGCGCCACGCCTCTGTCTCCGCCTCCTCCCAGCCCCACTCGCCCGCCCCGCTCCCGTACTCGACGCTCTCCCCCATCGGCGCGCTCACGATGGGGGCGATGGGGGCACTGGGGAAGCCAAGGCGGCACACGGCGACGCTCTCGCCGGGCACCGCGCCCCCGCCGCTCGCCCTGCCCAACCCGAAGCGTCTGTCGCTCCCCGCCGCGCTCGACCTGCGCCTGCTCTCTGTCTCGGGCGGTGGGACCATCCCGCCGTCGCCCTACGCCCATGGAGACTACGCCGGCGGAGAAGACGGGGACTCGCGCCGCGGGAGCTACGACAGCTACGCAGGCGAGGTCGGATACGACGCATACGCCCGCACGCTCGACGGCTTCCCCGCCCATCCCCCTCCCCACTCTCACTCCCATCCCCTCTCCGAGTCCCACTCCCACCCGCACCTCGCCCACCCGCACCCTAAGCACCACCACCACCACCACCACCACGCCCACGCCGGCTACGAGTAGCACTTCCCCCTCGAAGCGGGGTACGCGCTCGACCCTGTGGTCGATGCGCACTACCACCACCTCGACGCGTATGGACATGGGCACCTCGATGAGCACCACCACCGCCTCGACGCGTACGCGCAGAGGCACCACCCGCCAACGCTGCGCATCGACGCGCTCAGCCTGGGCCGCCCCGCGTCCAATAGGACGAGCGCGACGGGGAGCTCGAGCTCGCGGAGTAGCATTGACGAGTCGAGGTGAGTCTTGGCCTTTCGTCCATTGCTCTGCACACTTCATTCTGAGTTTCTGTGGATTCTGCGTGCATTCGTTTTGCTTTCCTGCGCGCGGATTCGTTTGCATGCGCGTACACTGAGCGCGAGGCCGAGGCCTGCGTGGCTTGCCCTTCCGGCGCGTCCGTTTGCGGGTGGCGCGCAGCTGTGCCTGCACCGTCCGTCTCGCACCCGCCGCCTCTTCCTTGCCAGTACGTGGCGTGGCGCTCTGTGTCTCGACGTTGATAGGCGCGCCGCCGGATCCAAAGGACGCCGCTGGCGTCTTGCGCGTGCGCGCGGTACCTGCACTCGTGCATCAGCTACGGCACTGGCGGCGCGCCGTAGGCGGAGTTGCGCATTTGGGGGGCGGGGGCGCCTGCGGGCGGTCCTCGTCCGCTTGGGCTCGAGGCGCGGGCTTGGATATGCGCAGGAGCAGATAGATTGCGACAGGGACGTCGTCAGAGCCGGGAGTCGGACTGGCGGCGCTGCTGCCTCCTTCCGTCCCGCACCTAAGGCTATCCGTCAGCTATGGCACTAGCAGCGCGCCGTGGGCAAGCCAGTTGACGTACGTGCATTTGGGAGCTTGGAGTGCGTAGTGAATGAATACATCTCCGATCAATCTCGGAAGGGCTAAGTGGCAGATGCCGACAGTTGCCGACCACTTTGGACTGTATGTCCGCAAGCTGAAATTTGACAAACTGCCTCTCGGAGTGGTGTATTCACTCTGAACTTGCCATATAAACCTCCAGCGGTGCTGTGGAAAAACAAATGGCATGAAAAAAATGACGAGGACCGGCGGCGCGACCTTTCAGTGCACGTGGCAGTTCAAACCCTGCTTTCGGGCCGCAGAATCACGGATAGCTGTTTTTCCGTTGTTTCTGGGGCAGAATTTTGGAGAAGGCGCATAAAGCCAGTCAAAGCTATGATAGCCAGTCTCAAGCAATTTTTTAAATCAGGTGGTTGTTTTCCAAATTGTTTCACTGAAATATTAGTGGAGATCAGTTGTTTGAAGGGCTCCGAGAGGCCATTAGGTATGGCGGTCCGTTTGCACTTTTATTCATCCAGCATATTTTCTGGCTTTTCCAGTGTTTTTTCAGTCCTTTTCACTGTCCTGTGTTTTTTCTCAGACTTTAGCGATGAAAGTTTTCTTGGATGTCATAAATACATGTTCCCTTGTCTCCCTAACATATTGCTACCCTTGTCAAAAAAAGTTTTATTTTGGTTGTGTACAGCACGGTAGATCACGTGATCAGACACGTCCATTTGGGATCAAGATATACTAGCAAATAACACAACTTCTACGTGTTACCAGAGCTTTGGTAGCACATATGAGCTCAGGATACCCTCAGATGCACTTCCAATCAGTTCATACTCCTTCTTGGGTCTCACTGATGAAGCCCTGCATCATGGAATATCCCCAGAGCATGAAAACCTCCGAATTAAAGGCTCTGATGACTCCAAGATGACTCTATCCAGCTCTACACTGCAATTTGTATTGCTACTGGCAGTTTATGGCTATCAGTATCAGAACAAATGCTACGGCACACCTCCGAGTCCCTTTCTGCCTCAGGTTCTGACAGTGCTGGGCTGTACGACTGAAGATATCCCAAACGGGCACCCAGTCACATGGTCTCCGGATGGTTCCAATCACCCCAAAACAAAACTATGGCTTGCAGGTGCGTTAAAAAAAGTGGGCTTGTTCAAGTACAAAAAAAAAAAGTTGGTGAGAATGAAAGTTTGTATGTTTTCAGCAAAAGTTAGTGAATAGGTGAAAAGGACTGAAAAAACACTGGAAAAGCCAGAAAATATGCTGGATGAATAAAAGTGCAAATGGACCGCCATAATTAGGAGGTTCCACCCGGCGATTTTCAAAGGGAAAATGGGTTACTGTCCATGTGTTTAAAATTTAAAGTCTCGTGCATTCCACTTCCATATGGCGGTCGTTCTGGACATTTATTATTTCGGCACATTTTCATGTATTTCCGGGTTTTTTTTATCAGATTTCACCTCTGAGCGACTTTTTGCGGAGAACATACAAAATTTGTCTTACAGAACAATATATTTTGACATTGACCAAGAAAACTTTCTTTCCTGACCTCTGCAAACATTTTTTTTTCGCTGTCGGAGGTTGTCGTTCTCAGATCACGTGATATGTACATTACTGTTCCGATTCGGAATACTCTGAGTGTCAGTCTGTAAGGTGCTTAGACAATGTTCTGAGGCAGAATTGACTTGAAGATGAACCAGAATCATTGGCTCTTGGGATAGCTGGATACCAGCAGCAGTCAGTAGAATTTTCACCAAGGTTTAGGGGTATCAGCCTCTTTTCGAGCTGTGGGGACATATCATTGTGAAAGTCACTTGTTTATATGGATCCAGAGGGACAGACCTCTTTGAAGAGTTCACAGGCCTGTTCTGGCTCCATCTGAGTTACAGGACACCAGGGAACAC